AGGAATGCCTGAGAGGGCAATACCAACACCAATAAGGGAATTGATTGTGTCACTGTAGAGAGGAACTATGACCAGGAAAAGGGAACATAAACAGTATACTATGGGGAAGAAGAGGCTAAGCTGTGGAGACAAAAAAATAATAATGATTCCAGCATTTATTAAAAGATGCAGTAAGCATTCTATTGTCTGCACTTGCAGAATAAAATTAGACAAGTTAATAATAAAAATATAACTATTGACTATATGACTGCTATGTACTGAGTCTTTTGACTGCCTATAGTCCATACATTTGCCTAGCTTCTGTGTATGCTGCTGAAAGCCTCTCATCTGGTACACACCTGAATATCCGACTATTTTGTTCTCAGGCCTGCACAAGCTCAGTCTCTTTCCACATTAGTAAGAGACCAGTCTTCAAAACCAGTAGCAATGGCTAGTTTTCCCTCTAACTTCAACTGCAAATTTTTAATTCTAAGCCTGACAAGGAACTCAGCTAGACTTTCATTTACTGTGTTGATGCTACAAAAGTAAAGGATTGATGTACAACCATTTTGCCTGAGCACTTAACAAATATCTTATCACAAATAAGGGAAGTTACAATAATCTCTTTATGGATTTATTTTTCTCTAAAGTATTTTTCACTGGCTGTAGTAATGACCATTCTCCAGAATTCAGGAACTGACATTTGAATACTAGCTAAAACTCCTGACTAGTACAAGGAGTAAGTTTATGGAACCAAACTGCTCCATTTCAGAAAAGGAAGAAGTGTGTGTGGAGTTGTGATGTTGACTTAGATGGCAAATGCTGATAGGAATTAAATGGTCCTTATTTATAATCTGACTGTAATCCTTGCTTTAGTAGAGTTAATAGCAAAACTGCCAGTAAAACAAGATTTAATCTTTATCTGACAAATTTTTGGGGGCAGTTTGGAAGTTAAGTGTGAACATACTTCTGGAAAATTAATCTGCTCTGGAGGACTGGTTTTCCAGCTCTCAGTGCTTAGGATATTTTAGTCCTTGGTTCGAACCATGCTTTTTTATAATCAGGATGTTGCACTTCAGTGGGAAAAAATATGTTGGTGAAAATGGTGCATGAGGTTAGGAAGTGTGAGTGACAAGAAGGAAATATTTAATAGGGTGTTAATTCGGATTTCTCATAGTTTTTACTGCATCACTGCAGCTGAAATGCAGGTCATGGAGACAACAGAGGCAGGGAAACGGGAGCCAGAATGTGGGGTTTTGTGCTTGAGGGAAGCTGGGGGGTTCTGTCCCTGCTTCCTGGACAGTCACTGGCTTAAAACTAAAGGAAATTTTAGGCGCACTTTGTTTCTGTGAAGTCTCTCTCTTCTAACCGATAGCCAGAATCTCTTCAGCAATCAGTCATTAAGCTTGCATTATACTTTCTGTGACCACTATGCAACAGGAGGGAACATTCACATTTTTTGGTTATTTAAGTTTTTAATCTTCTGCATGAGCAGAATTTTGGGCATTTATGGGCTTTGCATGGATTTGCTACATTTGTTAAGTCATATAAGTTTGGTCAGAATGTGAACCTCTCTGGAGCCCCCACCACTAGCTCTAGTGAGGTCTGCTGTGAACAACACAACAGGCAATTGTTCCAGGATGGGCCAAGAACTACAGGCATTTATTTCTTCTTTATTTGTTTTGAAATGAAGACAGTTATAAAGTTGAATGAAAGGGAAAAGAAATAGTAAGTATAATTTCCACCTCACAGAAAAAGTACCAGAACAGTTCTGGTTTTTGCTCCTTCACTTCTTATGTTGTATGTTGAAAAAATTTCTATGGCTGATAAGCAGCCTATAACATAACTGGTTGTGTTATGGTTGTGGCATTATGGATCACATAAATATGTGCATTAGCGGGCTATTAGGGCTTGTTTCCCCTCTTGTTTACTTACTTTAACAGGCCTTGGTCTATGTGGCTGAGTATATCTCAAATATATCAGTCCTGCAATAGACAGACCCACAAAAAGCCAGTAGTTGAAACAGTAGTAATTAATGAGGAGGAAAACATCTTCCACAAGGAGATAAAGCAAAGTCATTAAGCCCTAGGGACAATAAAAAAAAAGACTTTTTAATGTGAAAATAAACACATCTTATAAAATAAAGAGGTAGCAAACTATTTCCAAAATATTTGTCTGGAGTTAGGAGATCAGGTCTCAGGAGATGAGCTTAAAACTCTGAGAAATCTGCAAATAAATATGCTGTGTGAAACGTTGGTATCTCTTCCATAAACACAGCAGTGAGACCACCACATCTGGCTGAACAGGTGTTGGGTTTGTGAAGTTATATTTCAGCACCCACGGGAAACCCTCCTAAGAAGACCACCCAGGAGCCCCAGACTTTGCTGTGCAACAGAGAAGGCTGCTAAGAAACTTTCTGTAGGCAGCAGCTTACTCTGCTGTTCTGGATTCAGTTGGAAAGGAAACTTTCAATTTAGTTTCACTGTTGGAGGCTCTCAAAGTCTACTTATAAACTGAGACCATTAGAGTAAATTCTGTAGTATGCAGGCATGCTATACTGCCTGCATGGAAAAACATAAAATATTAGGAACTTAATAACTGTTATAGGAGATGAGCAGAAAAAAAAAAAATCCACTCTGGAAAACATAAATAGTGTTGTATTAAGGGAGTAGAGCTCACCTTACTATGCACTAGTAAGAACAGAATTCCTCTGAGAAGAGTATTCATTACAAGACTATAACTGTTAGTAAATTATTTAATTACAAATATGGTTATTAATATGTAATACAGGACAATGGAAGAACTGAAATAAAATACACATCTAAATAAGCAACAGTGAAATGCTTCTGAATTATACCACCTTTCCTGTTTGGGCATATCCTTGCCATTATTTTAATCAGTTACATTGATGGATTATTTATTAAAATAATTTGCAATAATTCCATAGTTTATGGTTCCTGTGTCACAAGATTCATTTGTATAGTGACAGCAGGAAAAAGTCAGTATGGCTATATGCATCCAATGGCAGGAATTTAATTTTATGTGCTTTGTCCCTTCTGTTAAAACTAGAGTCCTCGAAAATCAGCCTACAGAAGGGTCTCAGAGATATTACTACCATATTCTCCTTCAGTAATACTCTGAAAACTCACATACAGACATAAACAACTCCTGCCTATACTACATATTTAGCTGTCCTCTGTTTTCTAAGTAATGTCATAGAAAGTACTTATTACTCCCTAATAGTGTTCAGAGAGCATGGGAATGTGAATCCAGCCATTCTCTTTCCACTGCAAAAAATCCCACCTCCTGTTGGGTATTGGCCTCTACTCCCTGACCAGCACTTGGACAAGAGGAAATGGGGTCAAGTTGTGCCACGGGAGGTTCAGGTTGGATATTAGGAAAAATTTCTACACAGAAAGAGTGGTGAGGCACTGGAACATGCTGTCTAGGGAGGTGGTGGAGGCACCATCCCTGGAGGTGTTAAAAAAATGGGTAGACATGGTGTTTCAGGAGATGGTTTAGTGGTTAGGGGTAGGGTAGGGTGGACGGCTGGACTTGATCTTGAAGGTATTTCCAACCTTGGTGATTCTACGATTCTATGAAATATCACCACCACTACCCTCAATGAGTTTTAGAAATAGTGGGCTTTTGAGGAAGATGTCTCCAATGCAGGAGAAACCCAGGAGGGATGCGGTGCAGAGGTGATGTGAGTCAAACCTCTGCCTGCCCTGGCAGGCAAAGGGCCAGGCTGTCACTTACATTGAAGAGGAGAGCAGGCACTGGTGTGAAGCACTTCACATGAATCAAGCTCAGACTGTCTGGAAGGTGTCCTTCCCTGGCTCCAACATAAAAAAGCCTGAAAAAAAAAGAGTAAGAAGATTCAGCCAAGCAATGAACCAAGGAATAGCTTGTTTTCTGACAAAGGAGCATTAATTATTTTATTACTCCATTGCAAAAGCTGCTCTCTTCTCTAGTAGCTTTAATTTATCAGTTGGTACTGATCATGAGAAGACATGTCAGATTGTAACAACTCTTTCATCACACATGAACAACTGGGCATGGCAAAAATTAACTGTGTTGCTTTTACAACACAGTAGTAAGGAGTGGAGATTAATAAGAAATTATTCCTTTCCAGTTATTTAAAACAAATCTTATATTTCGTACCTAGATGCTGCGATTATTGATGAGTTTAAGCCACTGTAGCAAGACATGGCCACTGCTACAGGAATGATCCACTTCGCATAACTAAGGGTTTCACTGCCAAACGTCTGTAACAAAAAAATACAGTAACAGTGAGGCTCATTACATTAAGAATACAGCCAATCCCTGGCAAAAGCATCATTCTACAATGAAGTACTGCTAAGAGCAGGATTTACAGAGTATATAAGAGGATTTTACAAGAACAGATTTATTTGGAATGTTTTTTGTATACACCTTCTAATATACTGGTTACATGAAAACAAAGTTTAGAACAAAGCAACAACCTTTAGCACAGAAATATTTAAATTGTTTTGCCAAGCAGTGTGCTGCCTGAGATTCTTCTGCAGTGTTATCTATACCGCAACTTTTGGTTTAATTATTTTATACAACTTACCACAGCCACTGCATCACTTGTGAGGAGAGCTGACATGTCCAACACTACATAGTATGCTATGTTAGTCAGCAAGTAAATAACAGTCACAATAGGCATTGAAATTGCAATAGAAAGAGGCAGATTCCTGCAAAAGGAAAATGGCAAAATGACTTTGCTCTTTGAATAAGGAACATTTAAACAGAAGATGGGTACCATTTTCAAACATTTGAGAACAGATGTCTCCACCACTTTTTGTTATCCATAATTTTGTAATCATGGGGTTAAAAAATAATGTACAGCCATGGGTACGACAATTCCATAGGCAGCTTAGTTGGCTGCTTGTGAGTCTGACACAAGTTTTAGAGAAAAAAATGTCTATACAATTTATACATACATTTTATATACTGTCTTTTCTATGAAGAGAGCACTTAAGCAATGACATTTGAATTAACACCTGGGTGGTTTTCCACCTGATGATCACAGCATTTTTTTCCTGACTCATAAGCTACGTATGTCCCAAGACACGGTGGACAGTCTGAGTAGATGAGGCACACCACTCCCACAGGGTGGATATCACTACAGAGGGGAGGAGATGATATTTCCAGTGCTACTGTGGATTTTTTTATTTTTTACTTAACCTTTCATATTTAGCAAAATTAAATATTTTCCCCATCAAGAGTAATGCTGAAGATCACATGATAAAACAGCCATAAACCTAAACCACTCTTACTTTACTGGTGGAAAATGAAATAACTGCTCTGACTGAATAGAAACGGAATTTTAGAGCACTAGATGGACCCACACTAACCCTGCTTTCAGCAGAGATTTTTTCTCCTCCTTTAAAAATTCTGGCCTAAGTGGAAGGTCTAAACCACATATGTGCAGACAGATGATTTATTGGTGAGAGAGGACAATAATCAGGAAGAGTTTTCAGATTCCTGCTCCTCTGGAAAAGACGATGATTTTTGCAAATACAATTGTCTGAGTGATTTCCAGTCCTAAACAGAGTGGCTTGTCCTGCCATCACCTGTCTTGCCAGAATACTTCAGCAATTCAAAGGAAAAGCACCTGTTTACCTCTCGGGGTTCTGCATTTCCTCCGTGACATAGTTGAGTGTGTCCCATCCCGAGTAGGAGAAGAGGGCAGAGTAGAGAGCCAGAGCGATCATCCCTGGGTTTGTTGCTGAGCCCTCGAACGGAGCTCTCAGATTTTCTGTTTCTCCTGTACAAATGGCAGGTACCAATTGCCTGTCACATTTCAAGGACTACGACATAAATGGACATTACACTAGAAGTCTCAGGCAACCAAAAGGAAATAAAACCTCACTGCTTCCAGGTTTCATCACTATTTCTAGAAGCACACAGTTTGTATTTTCACTTGACAAAGGAAGTGTCAGTAAAATGTTCAGGCAGCTACACTTGCACAGGGAGACATCAGAAGGTATTCTCCCATGCTTGTTATTTGGATGTGACTTGTAGAATTCACAGCATCCTCATCTCCTGGCACCACCATCTGGCCTGGCGAAGGAGGGAGCTGCAGTGAGGTCACACTGTGCCCTGTCAGCCAGGCAGGGGCACTTGGGAAATCCAATTTCAGTTCTTGAATCTGTCTATTTCTTCCTCATATCTGTGCTCTGATTTTCACTAGATAAATTAGTTGCCACTGGAGGGGAAACTCCTGGAGTCATGATTCTCAGTGGGATGCTCTGCCCCACAAAGACGTTTCCCAAAATTAAGAGGAGACTTTAAAAATCTCTCCTTTCAAAATTCTCCTCTAGCTTAGCTCAACTGGTTGAGATGTCAATGTGCAGACTGCAGCAAAATAGATGAAATGTTAATGAAACTGTGTGAGCCTTCACTGCCATTCTGGAAAGGGGAAGAAAGGCCTTGCTAAATTTGTAGAAGGAAAGTCAACTATCTAATATAAATGCAAGTGGGTTTAAGTATTAAGAAAGACAGAAACACGCTGAAACCTCCCTTAGTGAATAAAGTAAGATCTTAGCTATAAAATAAAACAACTTTACCCTGTGGTTAAGCTGAGGAGTATATAGATACCACAGAAGCAATTCAGTCTTTGAAGAGAAGTAACTACCAGGTGATTGTTAGAACTAAGGAAGGTGAAACTATGAGATGTGGACACACTTTGGGGGAAAATGGCTGGAAGAAAAAAAAATAAAATCCAAACAGACCATGAAAAGCTTCTTAAACTAAAGATAGCTTCTGCTCAAAAGCAGATGATATCACAGTGTTTTAAAACACATGGCATGCCTGAGCACATCAGAAGGAATACAGCATGGCTGAAAAACCATAACTGTTCTTGTCATTAACACAGCTACTGAGTCTAAAAGGGTGCATTGACCTCATCACAGCTTCCTCCAGAAATCTACATCATTTCTCCTCCCAGTCCCTTCTGTAATTAAGTGTGTAGTTCTGCTTAGACAAAGCAGAGACAAGACATTTACTACTACTAAAAACCCTCTGCACTTCGAGTTCCTCACAATAATGTTTCCTCTCTGCCTTTACCCTCCCTGACCCCAGGGAGCAGAGGGAACACTCAACCAAACTGCATCGTGGCAGCTGCACAGCACTGAGCGGGCTGGGAGTTTTTAAGGAGTCTATTTGAAAGCTTTGGGTACATTTGTGACTCTGCGGACAGAGCAAAGCTCTACCGGGGCAACAACACAGGCTCCCACCTTTGTAAAACTGCAGCAGCTTTATGAGAGGAACTACCCCTTCGTGTAACTGTGGCTCTTAAGCAATGCTTTTCCTCTGCATCTTCACATCCCTGCTCTTAGGACTGGTTTGTTTAGGTTTCTTTAAACTGAAACAAACAAATGACAGCTGACATGCACCAATAACAGGTAAGCAAAAAAGGTCTCCTAAAGTCTGGTGTAGCTTTACAGCTTAACAGCTGTAAACATCTGCAGCCAAGGAAAGGAGAAGGCCAACAAACATGGAAAAGAAAGCATGCCCATTAGATT